TCGATCGGTTGGTCAACCGGCCGGGCAACCGGCTGGTTGACCGGTTGGTCTCCCCCAACGGTCACAAGACAGTGTTTTGATGAAATCAGTATTCTGTCCTCAGTTTGATGAATTGTTTGGTGAAATCTCATTTTGATATCGATTTGGTTCAACCGTTGGAGCATCAAACAGTAACTTTTTCACCAAATTTTAAATTTGATGCTGGGTTTGATGAACCGTTGGAAATGATCTTATTCATATGCTCAATGAGGATTTAAAAAAAGTAAAAGCTTTTGAAATAAAAAAATTAAAAAAAAAATATTAAACCCACTGAGACTGAGATGAGCAGTTCGATGGGTCAACTGAGACGACTCACTCGCGAGACGAGGCATCCAAAAGAAGCCCTTGCAGATGAAACAGATGGGTCACCCAAGTCACGAACAGAGATCGAACCAAAGGAGTTTGATCATGTACCAGATAATCGAGAAAGAGAGAACGCGATCAAACAGATGAATCACGAACAAGTTGAACCAGAGTGTGCGTAACCCTAGCCAACACGAAATCAGGAATCACAAAGCTCTGATACCATGTAAGATTTCTAAACAACCTGTATATTAGATTGAATTAATTTGAACAAAGAATACATACATCATTTATATAGAGTACCACTAATCCTAACCCTACATGAATACATTACTGAGATATATAGAAGTCTAATAAACATAGGACACTGATTCCTAATCTGAGGAGAACACATACACATATTCTCACAATGTTTACAACCAAGCTGCTGTTGAGTGCAATTTTGTGACCAGTGGATGGCGTTGAGTCCTAATATATGACTACTTTATTATTTTAACCTCTTTTGAAAGAACCAAGAGGTGGTAAACTTTTGATTTTGATTTATGCTTTATTTTGTTTTTTCCTTTGCATTCTTTTCAAATTTTAGCCTTCTTTTTTTTGTTGACGGATAGAAATCATGTAGTTGTATTTGTGTGTGTTTGTCTTGTTGAGTCTTTGCCTTTGCATTCTACATGATTTCTATCCGTGAATAAAAAAAATAATTTAGTAGAAAATTCTGAAACTCTAAATTAAAGAACACATAATTCCTTTTTTGTGATGAAGTTTGAAGTTTCAAAGATTCTGAAAACATCAACTCTTAAAATCAGAGACTCACCACCCACCCTCACAGATTATAAAATGGTCGCAAGCCAATAGATAGCACACCGAGGGCTTACCTTCTATGCAATCTTCTATGCAATCAAATTCTTTTATGAGTCTTGCAGTTGGCCTGTCTAGATCTTCTCGTTCAGCAACATTAATACATAAACACCATTTAAATCTTGCAAATTCTTCTTCTCTCTCTGCAGATCATGATGGAAATACGGAAAAAAGATTGTGTAAGATGGAAACGTAGAGTATGTTGCGATGTCTTTACTCTCAATGCCTAAAAATCCAACTCTAGGAAATTATCTTGAGCATATATAGCAAATATTACCATGTTATTTACAAGTAGGAACCATACATAAATCAATAACCAGTAATAGGCATCGCAATTGGGAATCCCACAATAGACACATTCACATATAAATATATAAATCATAACTAATCAAAACTTAACAGGTTCTACGCGAAACCCAACACTATGCAATTCAATAATGAAACTCAATATAAGCGTCTAATATCTTGAGACTAGGTGGTTCCATAAGAGCCAACTGATCCCAGAGACCTGTCATCTCAATATAAAAGTCCTGAATAGTTTGATCCCGCTGACGAGCACCCTGAATAGTTGTTTCCAACTCATACCGCTTGGCAAAATTGGACTGTTGATAAACACCGAGTAAATAATCCCACACTTCCTTGGCAGTACTGTACTTGGAAAACATCATTCCAATACGGTCATCCACAGAGTTGTGAAACCAGGTAAGAACTTGGGCATTATCACAATCCCAAGTGTCACAAGAAGACAGATACCCTTCTACCTTTGGGTCCGATGGACGAGGAGCAGAACCAGAAACATAGCCCCACTTTTTTTGACCAAGAAGAAAATTTTTCATAACACTGGCCCAATAGGCATAATTACCACCATTGAGTTTACATTTAATGGCTTGAATTTTAGGGTCCATTATTGTAATAAAAGATTAATGGGTCAAAGTATACTAATAACTTAATAAATGGGCCAAAACAGGAATAAGGGTTTTAAATGGAAATACCCAAGTTGAAGCACAGCGATCGCGAAGCAGAGAGAGAGAGAGAGAGACTGAAGCTGAGATTGATTTCAGACGGAGCTCGCGAAGATCTCAGACAGAGATCACGAAGCATAGAGGCGACCACAGAGAGACGACCACAAGAGTCGACCAAGACGGAGACACGATGAGCCGCGAGGACGACTGAGACTGAGATGAGCAGTTCGATGGGTCAACTGAGACGACTCACTCGCGAGACGAGGCATCCAAAAGAAGCCCTTGCAGACGAAACAGATGGGTCACCCAAGTCATGAACAGAGATCGAACCAAAGGAGTTTGATCATGTACCAGATAATCGAGAAAGAGAGAACGCGATCAAACAGATGAATCACGAACAAGTTGAACCAGAGTGTGCGTAACCCTAGCCAACACGAAATCAGGAATCACAAAGCTCTGATACCATGTAAGATTTCTAAACAACCTGTATATTAGATTGAATTAATTTGAACAAAGAATACATACATCATTTATATAGAGTACCACTAATTCCCTAACCCTACATGAATACATTACTGAGATATATAGAAGTCTAATAAACATAGGACACTGATTCCTAATCTGAGGAGAACACATATTCTCACAATAATAACATGTTTACCTGGAGCTGCATACCCAACAGTCCCTCTTATTCCCATTGAGCTGCTTTCATTTGGATTCATGAGTTGGGGGAGAAACCTTGCAAGCCCAAAATCGCCAACATGGGCAGTCATGTCACTGTCAAGAAGAATATTGGCTGGCTTTAGATCACAATGAACGATTGACTTTTGGCAGTGGTTGTGAAGATAGTCAAGTGCACAAGCCACATCAATTGCAATGTTTATTCTTTCAAGAAGGTTTAGTTTCTGAATTTTGTCCTGTCCATCATCTGTCTCCATACATGAATGCAACCACCTCTCAAGACTCCCATTGGGCATGAACTCATACACTAAAGCTTTAAAAGCATTGCCTTGGAAATCAATGGTTGAGCGAGAAGTTATGGTGTTGACAAGGTTTCTGTGTTTGATATTTCTCAAGGCTTCACATTCGGCCATGAAACTCTTGGAAGCTTCTCGATGTAGAAGATTAAGTACTCTGATTGCAACAATGCTTGCATCCTTATCAACGATTCCTTTGTAGACAGAACCAAAATGACCAGCACCAATCAGATTTTCTGAAGAAAAGCCATCAGTTACTTTAAAAAGTTCTCCATATGACACTTTCAAGAGTGATCTCCTCAACAATGATCCTGAAGGCATATTTCTTTGTTTCTTTTTAAACCAACAGAAGATCAAACATGTTACTAAGATTACTCCAGTTGTTGCAGACGTTGTTATGATTATTAGCCTTATAAGCCTCGCAACTGACATCTTTTTTTTCTGTGATTCATTGATGGGGCATTTGGGTAGCTGAAGCTCAGATATGCCCCCACATAACCTTTTATTCCCAGTAATTGATATCGCACTGGCATTTGCGAAAACACCCTTTGTTGGTACCTCCCCTTCAAAATCATTGAAGGACAAGTTTAAGATCTTCAATGAAAAATACTCTAAATACACTGGATTCTGTCCTGAAAAGTTGTTATGAGAAAAGTCAAAGTTTTGAATACCTTTCAAAGAACTCAGTGATGAAGGAATGGACCCTTGAAAGAAGTTCCCCTCTAGGTATAAATATTCAAGGCTAGTGCAGCTACCAAGGCTACTAGGAATTTCACCAGACAACTGATTCTCAGATAAATCCAATTGTGCTAAATTTTTAAGGTTACCTAACTCTATAGGTATCAAACCAGACAAATGGTTCCGAGCTAGATTTAGTGAAATGGATAGAGTGGAAAGATCAAAAAGTTGTCTGGGTATGGTTCCATTAAGGTTGTTTTGATCAAGTTCCAACAATAACAATTGTTGACAGCTTCCAAGACTTGAAGGTATGGTTCCCTCTAATCTGTTATTCCCCAAGGAAAGTTCATTCAACAATGATAGGTTTCCGATAGAATCTGGAATTTTTCCTGATAGTTTGTTGTCGCTAACAAACAACCGTTGCAGCTTTTGAAGATTAACAACATTAGTGGGAATTCTACCTGTGAATTGGTTATACGCCAGACCTAATGTTTCAACATTTACCAAATAACCTATTGTTGAAGGGATGTCTCCATATATTTGATTTCCATCAAGTGACAAATATAACAGTTGAGCAGAGAGGTTGCCCACATTATTTTGCAAAGCCCCTCTTAATTGATTATCTTTTAGATCCAATCCAACCAAATTGGTACAGTTAGTCAAAGAACCAAGAAAATTCATTTCATCCGGTTCTCCACTTCCAAAATCATTATATCATAGAGCTAAAAGAATCAGAGTCTGTAGGCCTGCAAAATCAATAGATATTTTTCCATTGAATCTGTTGTTATGGATATCAATCCATTGAAGTGCTGACATGTTTGACAACGAGACTGGAAGTGGTCCAGCAAATTGGTTATCTGCTAGTTGAAGGTATTGAAGTTGAGGAAGCAGAAAGCCTAAGCCCGGTGGGAGACTACCGTGAAGTTGATTTTGAGGAAAAGATAAAATAGTGAGTGATGAAAGGTTATAAATGGATGGTGGGATCGTACCAGAAAGTTTGTTGTCACCAAATCCAAGGGCTGTTAAGTTTTTCAGTTGACTCAAGGAAACCGGTATAGTCCCCACCAAAAGATTTCCAGCAGCAGATATAAGCTCCAGAGAGGTAATATTCCCAAGAGAATGAGGGATTGTCCCTGTTAAATTGTTCCCTTGAATGGCAAGAAAAGTGAGCTTCGACAACAAATTAAGCTCCTCTGGAATTTTCCCCACAAGCATGTTCAAACCTAGATGAAGGTAATCGAGGTTCGAGCAGCGGGAAAGATTGACTGGAATTTCTCCTTCAGTGGAGTTATTATAAAGGTGTAGTCTTTTCAGCATTTTCAGATGACCAATTTGAGGTGGAATTTCGCCTTTAAAAATGTTGTTGCTGAGTCTGATCTCCATGAGGAAGCTCAGGTTTCCCATGTAAGGTGATAGAGAACCGACTAGGCCTCTGGAAGCTAGATTTAAGACGGTGACTCTTCTGTGCCGGTGGCCACATATAACACCTTCCCATTCGCAGAAATCAAAAGAATTGTTCCATGAGCTCAGTAAGCCTTCGGGATCAAGTGTTATACTTGACTTGAAGGCTAGTAAGGCAAGATGATCTGTCTCATTTCTGCCAAATGAAGCTGAGAATGTGTCATGGGTGAGAGTTTGGGTGAACTGCAACAATGTAATGAAAGCAAGAAATATATGCCGTTGTAGATATGTTGAATGTAATGGCATCAAACGTATTTCTGAATCCATTTCTGTATCCTTTAGTATGAGAATTTTGTAATATAGAGACTGAGCATAACATGGGTTTTTAGTTAAAATCATTTACTGAATGCCATTGCAAGTTTGTGAATTGTTTAGGGATGTATGTTTACTTGATGTACTTGGGTAGGTGGAGGTCAATGCTTAAATGGGGCTGTTGTATCTTGGGTAGGTCATACGTTTTCATTCTTTTCTTTTAACCAATTGAAAACGAAAACCAATTGAAGTGATCAATTCCTAGAAAATTGGGGTGCAGTGTGAACAAAGAAATTGTTGGAGTTATTCATTTCTATCTGGTACCAACACGCTTGATGCTAAGAAAAGTTCTATTGCGAAATTTTGTTAAATAAATCTACGCTTGTGGAAGTTGAAGTTTGGAAATAAAACGATTTCTTCGACTATAGTATTAAGCAAAAGGTTACACCTAGAGCTCCTATACTGCAGGTCAATCCTGTACTCCACTAGTAACAATTAGTGGCATATCTATTTATCCCTTTTACAGCTATGGAAGCATCTTGGCAAAATTTTCATCTAAAAAGACAACAGATGCATCAGCATTTGGACCTTCAGCATCATTAAAATAGCTATGCCTAAATATATATATATATATATATATATAAAGAGATTTAGACCTGGCTAGACTTTAAGCTGAAGAAGATAATATTGAAAATTGAATGACATGATATGTGTGATAATGAAACCATCGATGGAATTTCATATTTTCATTATGTTATACACTGAGAAATGATGGATATACAAGACAAGATGAAATATTTTATTTTCTGGAATTGACATGGTCAGAGTGAGAAACCTTGGGGCAACTGTGCTGGAGATAAACATGAATTATCCTGTTAGCTTGTTGATATGATAAAGTTAATTTCTAATAACGACCTAGTTAAATTATTTATCCTGTTCTCTTCTTCAATCAAGGAAAATTTGGTATTAATATTAGTTGTTATGTAATGTATGACCAATTCATGTCTGTGAGACCATGAAATCTTCTCACATAGATTGTGATAGAGATCTAACAAAGAGACGAGCTTTGCCCCATTGATCTGCAAAAATAAACATGGTTGACACCACCAACAAAGAGACAGAGCTTTGCCCCATTGATCTGCAAAATTAAACATATTGACGCCGACCAACCGGGGTTGCCAGCCTAGGACACTCCGATGATAAAGTCAGAAAATGTATTCTGAGAGAGAAACCAAATAAACTTGATGAGTGTGTTGTGTTGTGTGTGTATTGCATGATAAGGCATACCTATTTTCCAATGGATCTCTCTTTTATAGAGATGGTTGTGCTTGCCCTCCACATTTGTTTAAAAATTTAGATACCTGTGTTGACCTAGTGTACCTGGTTATGTGGAACTTAAAAGCTCAACTGAGAATTGTGTATCTGATCAGGTTGGTGATGTTTTTTTTTTTTTTTTTTTTTTTTTTTTTTTTTTTGGTTTAAAGGTTAGTCAGGTATTGGGTTGCTTCACCATGAAATTCACATATCACATCAATGAGTAAAAAAAAAGTTGTAAAATTTTTTAGTTTGTATGGTATTTTTCGTAGTTGAAAGTCCTAAGGTGTTAGGTAACAGGTGTTTTTCTGGATTGTGGACTAAAAAAACCAAATAAAGTCAATGAGATTGTTCATTTATAAGCATACACAATTAGTTCCTCTTTGATGCAAATTTATGTTTTTTGTTTTCTTGACATGTTCATTAGAGTTAATCATACATGCATTTTGCCTCAGGATTCAAGACTTCGAATGGTAGCTTTTATTTAATCACAAGCATGTCTTTAGATGCCACATCTAACTAGAAACCTAACATGTAAACATCTTTACATCCATATATGTACATTAATTCAATGTCTGACATTCAGATTAAACACCCAAGCACATAACATATGAGTACTGTGAGTCCTTAGAGTCGATATTTATGTCTTTATGTTAATCATCATCTTATATAATTCCTGGAAAGGACACAGTGAAAATGTTTTGAAAAAAGGAAGAAACTAATTAAATGTCCAAAGCATTTAAAAAAAAAAAAAGAAATAATTAAAATTTAATCATTGGCAAAATTAGCATAGGATTCCCTTATGCACAGAAGCAAAACCACCCACACCAATCAAATTTTATGAAGAAAACCCATTAGTTGCTTTAGGCCATGTTTGGATCATTGCTTGGGACAGAAATTTGAAAAAAGAAAGGAACATGCTAGGGAAATGGAGAAAAATTTATAACTTATATTTCATTCACGTCACTTACATTTTTCTTTTCCTTTCCAAATCCACAATCCAAACACAATCTTAGTTAATCCTGTTGACCAAGTCCACGCTCCTCCGTACGACGTCGCTTTATCACCTGAAAACACAAACGTGAGCTAGCCGGCGGGTGTGTGCCGGAAACCTCTCCGATGCCTAAGTCAGTAAGCTTGACAAATAGACAAAGTTTTATGTTCTCAGAAAGAATTGTGTTCAATTACCTCCTCCAAGGTGGTGCTTGTGAGCTTTTATAGGTTTCGAATGGCATAATCCTAGTAGGACTTTTATTTCTCCATGCAGAGTCCTCCTAGGATTCATACTCCTAAGGATAATGCTTATCCTTTTACACCCTCCCCACTACTTAAACCAAGTGGGATGGTTTTCACTTTGGCCGAACTACTATATGACCGAAATAAGCTTGGCTACGCAGAGCCACAGAGAAGGCCGAACTGTCCTTAGCTCGGTCTTCTCCTCCAACTCCTTATCTCGGCTTTCCCCTGTTCGACTATGGTGTGTTTAGATCAAACTTCCAAGTAGCAAGTTCCGACCGACCTAACCATAATATGTCATGACCGGACTAAATGCAAGGTCGGACTCACTTCAAACTGCCACCGGACCGGAGTTGCTTTACACATTCTTGAACCGGAGTAACCACACCTCTCCTGGGCCGGAATAACTTCACTTCTCCTGGGCCGGAGTATCTATACCTCTACTGGGCTGAAATAACATTACGGCTTCTTACCGATTCCTTCACACTTTGGGCCGCAGGGCCCAACTCACAGCTCGGCCCAATTCTTTCCCAAAAATTACCCTCTCAATTGCCCCTTAATTTCATCTGCATAGCATGATTGAGATTACAAATCCTTCAACCGAGCTGAAGTTCTACAAGCCTTTTCAGCCGAGATAAAAACCCTTCAGTGTATCCAGCCGAGCTAGTTTTACTCCGAACTCTGCTTTATCCGGTCAAAACGTCTCTTCAATCACGACTGTAACGCTTCCCTTTCCCTTGCCACGTGGCGGGCTCTGATAGGCCATGAGCTGTTATCACGCCGCCTTCGTACTTCGAACTTTTTGAACAGTCCCGCCCCTTTTTGCCGCTTTTTTTCTCTCTCCTCTTTCACAAAACAACCTTTCTTTCTCTTGAATCATTCACCTTCCATTCTTCATCTTATCTCTCTATGTTCTTGCTGTTCGTGTTCTTCCTTCACTTTTGAGAACTGATTTTGCTGCCATTTTCCCATCATCAGATCCCTCTTCTTCCACCTGGTAAGTAGACTCACTTTGCTTCCTTTATTTTGCTTTCAAATCTGTATAGCTTTGTTTTGTATGCTTTTTGCAAACATTTTCTTTCATTTTTGACGCTTCGCTTCCGTACTTTTATGAAAAAATAATAGCAGAGCTCATACGTGTATGAACTTCTGTAAAAAACTTGCTTTAGATCCAAAATTAGGTAGTAACCGAACTAGAATCCTGTTTGCATTAAATAGGTAGATCACCGTAGTCAATAACCGAACTAGAACTTGAAAGTTTCAAAAAGTTACCAGAGCCTGACTCACTTTAGCCGAAATAAGATCACCAAGTTTTGAATATATCAAACTAGGAACCTCGGTTTTCAACCAAACTAAGCTTTTGGGGCCAAGCAGGCTTTCTTAGTTCCTAAACCGAACTCAGAAAGCCGCCCCTAGAGGCTTAACCGAAGTAACTTTATTCATACTGCAACCGATTTAGGCCTTGGGGCTAAACCAGCTTAGTTTTTTAGACCGAACTCAGAAAGCTGCCCCTAGACGTTAAACCGGTCTACCGAGCAACCTGCCCAAACCGAGCTACCAAACCTTTTGATGAACTGAGATAGAACCAGTTTTTTGAGGCCGAAGTAGGGCTCTTATACCTTGCTTTTAAATTGTAGCACGGTCCAACGATCAGTGCTTTAACCCCCTCTATTTTCTACTTTGCAGACTTAGGTTACCCAGGCACTCCTGCGTGCGCTCAACCGAGCTACTGAGCACGATTTTCGCACCGATATAAATTATAAGTAAATTATACATCAAATGGGTAAGTATAGGTATCTAGTTGAGACCCCTGGTGGTATGGCCGAATTTAGGAAAGATTACCATATTCCTGAAGACGTCCATCTGATGTTAGCCGAAAAAGATGTCATTCCCTGGGAAAAAGAAGGCTACGTCCCTTTTACCCTTCAATCCATAATAGAAACCGGACTACGGTTTCCTGTCCAACCGCTGATCTGTGAATTTCTTAGGCAGACTAGATTATGCCCCACCCAACTGTCCACCAATACATATCGCATTATAATGGGAATAGCCGCACTAAACCACCAAACCGGACTAAACCTCGGCCTGGCCGAAATTTTCCATCAATACTCCATCGGCTCAAAAGATGCTGGGTGGGTCTATTACCTTAGGATTCGCCGCCGCCGAGAGAAGATAGTTAAACACACACCGGACAAAGATCTTAATGACGATGATTTTTTCTGGGTCTCTAGGAACTTTGAGGATTTTCAAGCCCAAATTCCTGACCGACCTATAAATTGGAAAAAGGGAGAGCCCGGTAATTTAACTTCGGTCTTCTTCCTTGTATGTTATTTCGGTTTTTTTAGTCTATTAACCGAACTAACACTTCTCTTTTTGCAGATTTCGCCCACCTCCGTTCCCTATATAGCTATCCCAACCTTGCGATTTTGCGAGCCGCACTACGGTGTAAAGAAAGGAGTTGGGCCAAGCTTCTAAACTTTGAACCGACCTACCGATATAGCGGTCGTCGAAAAGCCCGAGTGACCGATTTCCTTCTAGAGGAAGCACCTGAACCGAACCCAAACTTGCCCG